ACAGTGTGAATTGTAGTGGCAATGAAAGTACACTGCTTAACTGTTCCTACTCAACTACTGGATCTTGCTACAGCCGTCAAGATGCTGGCCTTATTTGTCAAAGTTAGGTTTTAATAAAATGAAATGGAGTAATTTATAGATAAATATTAGACTTGGGTGTAACATATGATAATTGTACTGATTATGCAGTACGCTTGGTGGATGGAGCAACTACAATGGAAGGAAAAGCTCAAATATGTATTAATAGGGTCTGGGGTGCATTTTGTTATAGAGAAAATTACTACTCTTATGGTGTGGATGCTACCATAATTTGTAGGGAGCTTGGCTACAATAATGGTTAGTTGAAATGTAGTGAACAATTAATTTTTAAATATTAATTCATTATAATAGGTAATGGAGTAACATATCTTGCTGAGTCTCCTAGTGTAGATATTTTGCTGATAGCTGATATGAGTTGCTCTCAATCTGCTACTAGTATTAAGCAATGCAGTCTAACACATTACACTAAGTTATCTTATTGTGATGCTAGACACACTGCAGCAGTTAGATGCCACAGTATGACCAATATTTGTGATGCATAAATTTTGATTATAATTCTGATTAGATTGTACTGAAGGTAGCATAAGACTGATACCTTACAATTCTTACTCTGAAGATATTGGACGTGTTGAAGTTTGTGTTGATGGTACTTGGGGTAGTATATGCTATCATTATTTTACTGACAATGATGCTCAAGTTGTCTGCAGACATTTAGGATACACTGCATTAGGTATACTGTATGTGCATGTATTTCTTGTTATAATGTTAACTGCATGGTAGGGTCAGTTTCCATGGGAGGACTCCATTATGATGATAACATACCCCTTCATATTGTTAATCTTAATTGTACTGGTAATGAAGAGAGTATATGGGATTGCCCCTCAAGTACACAAGGACAGGGATCCTGCACTGTATACACTGATGTATCAGTTGCCTGTCATGGTAACTAACTTTTTAATGAAACTTGTACTTTTAAAATTACACAGGTTTTTCCGTGGAGTATTCTGATTGTGCTAATGGTCAGATACGCTTATCAAATGGAACAAGCAAAATGGAAGGAAGAGTTGAATTATGTTACAATCATGTTTGGTTTGGAATATGTGCTGATGGTTATAATGATTATTATGATACTGGAACTATTTGTAACTCAACGGGTCATTCAAAAAGCAAGCACAAAATAATTTAAACTCTAATTATACTTATTACAGGTGCTACAGGATATTCAAACTCATTCCTGGATTTACCAAATCTTCCTTTATTTCCCTATGAGTTTTACTGCTCTAGCATCATGGGCTCTCTGTTGAAATGTTCAAAAGGAGTATTAAATTGTTATAGTAACACTTATTCATACAGTCATAAATATTTAGGAGTAACTTGTCAAGGTAATATTATTGGGCATATGTTGTTATTTTTAAAATTCTTACAGAGTGTGTTCATGGTGACATTAAGCTCACAGGTTCAGGATATAGCTCTATTGGTGTAATTAATGTATGTGTGAATAATGTTTGGGGGACTGTCTGTAATACTGGCTTTGATAATGCTGATGCTAGTGTAGTTTGTGCTCAATTAGGATTCTCACGTTATGGTAAATATTGCTTTATATGTGTTTTAAGTAGATCTACTGTCCGTACTGGCAGGTGTTTTGCATTCTCTGGATTATTATTACTATTATTATAACAAACTTATACATTTTCATAATTTAAACTGTACTGGAACTGAATCAAGTATTTGGGAATGTCCATTTAATAATGCTACACAAAATTGTAACTATGCTGCATATGTGATATGTCAGAGTAAGTTGCCGAAGTTTTGTATAAAATATCTAATAATGAATTTTAGTCAATAACGTTACTGTTGATACTTCGTGTACAACTGGTGATGTTAGATTAGTTGGTGGTCCCAATGAGTATGAAGGAAGAGTTGAAATATGTTACAATCAAATGTGGGGAGCTATTTGTGACTATTACTGGGATACAACTGACGCTAATGTTGTTTGCAAACAGCTTGGTCATCAGATGACAGGTATTAATATTTAATATTCTACTTTCACTTATTATGTAGGATCAATATCTGTGCGGGAAAGTTATTATGGACAAGGGCAAGCTCCTTTTGTTATGAGACGTTTGCATTGTTCCAGCAGTGACAGTTCACTAATAGATTGTACTCACTATTTTGATAGTGGTACTGCTCTTTATTGTGGTACAAATGATGCAGCAAGTGTTGTATGTTTAGGTAAGCAATATAGAATGAACATGTTTTTATCTTTAACTAATAATAACAGAAGCCTGTAATGATGGTGATGTAAGACTGAGTGGATCATCAGTGACATATGCTGGTCGTGTTGAACTGTGTGTTGAGAGAACATGGACTACACTGTGTGATCAAACATGGGACTTTAATGATGCTGCAGTGAC